AAAAAAAAAAAACAGCATTCTTTCTACATGTGTGATAAGAGAAAAAAGAAGAGGAAGATATGTAAAGTTGCAAGCAACAGTTACTGAATTTCATTTAACTGAAATCAAAACCCATTTCCTCACATAATTTCTTTTCATTTACTAGCTTAATAAATTGTAGATGTGATTTATATTTACTGAAATACACAGATCTGAAGCACACGATTTGGTCAGTTTTAACAATTGCATACATCCATGTAACCTACACCCTTACTGAGACACAGAATATGTCCATCACCACAAAAAGCTTTCCTGTGTCCCTGGAAATAACCACTGACTGGATTTCTATCACTACAGATTCGTTTGCTTATTATAGAACATAATATAAACGTAATCACACAATAGATACTGTTTTGTGCCTTGCTTCTTAGGTAGATACTTGAGAATTTTCTAAATCCACAATCCTATCATCTGCAAATAAAGACAGTTTTACTTCTTCTTTTCCAATCTGATGCATTTTACTTCTTTGTCTTGCCTTCCTGGACTGGCTAGGACCTCCGATAAATGTTGAATAGAAGTTGTACAAAATGGCATCTTTGTTTTGTTCCCAATCTTAGGGAGAGAACTTCCAAAACTTGACTGTTAAGTTTTTAGATAGAAAGGAAGTTTCCTTCTTTTTCTAGATTTCTCAGAGGTTTGTTTTTTTTTTTAATCACAAACAGGTGTTGAATTTTGTCAAAACTATTTTTATGTATCTGTTGAAATGACAGTTCTTCAATCTGCTATAGCAAATTGCATTGATTTTTATCTCATAAATCCACCTTGCATTCCTCAGACAAATTCCACTTGGTTATAGTGTATTACCCTTTCTACAAATTGCTGGATTTGACTTAGAAGTATTTTTTATGAGAATACTGGTCTAGTTTTCTTATAATGTTATTGTCTGCTTTTGGTATGAGGATTATGGAAGTTTCTTCTTCTATTTGGGGGGAAAAAAGACACAATATTGGTATTATTTCTTTCTTGAAAGTTAATGGGGGACGCCTGGGTGGCTCAGTCGGTTGAGCATCTGCCTTC